CCCCCCCCCCCCCCCCGCTCCCAGCGCCAGGAAGGAGAGCAGCTTCCACCCTGGTCCCGCGGTCCCCGGACCCTGCTCGGAGCCCCTCGGCCATGCCTTTGATGTTGGAAGTGAGGCACCCGCTCTTAGGTCCTGGGCGCTGAGTCCTTTCATAAAAACACCCGTGCCTGTCGCCACCCGCGGGCACCAGTCACGCTTCCCAGCCCTGACTTTCTTCACCGGTGACATGGGGAGCTGACCCGCCGCCTGCACTGCCGCAAGCTCAGGCGGGCGTCCTAGCGAAGGGCCGGCGCAGGATCAAGACCCCTGATCGCTGATCACCGTGGTGCCCATCGGTACTCACACGCCTCCCCACAGCCTGTGCCCCGCCGACCCAGCCTCACCTGGTGGGGTGCCCGCCTTGCCACCGAGCGGACGCCACGTCACAGCTCTCGCGGGGGGACTGCTCCCCCTGGCAGGGCCGTCTCTAAGGCTCTAGAAAACAGGTGGCCTTCCCCGTCAGCGGCCTATCTTCTGTGGCGGGGCACCCGTCACCCCAGCCGCAATCTGCCCGTTAGGAATCTCCGCAGGCGGGGCCTCAGGGACCAGATTCGCAGACATTTTGGCCTCATCTCCTGCTGCAGATTCAGAGGGCACTCTGGCTTTTGAGGTGAAATAGTGCATGCGTGTGGACTTGCCAGAACTTTCTTCGTGTCACCTACTCCTCTTCCTCCTGGGCCGGCGCTTCTGGGCCTCCAGCCCCATAGACGGCCACTCGGTAGCTGTGCCCTAACGGGCACCTGTTCTAAGGGAGGGGCCTTTCATTACTGGACACAACCAGAACGTGTGACCGTGAGGTCAGCAGGGCCTTGGGCCAGCTGGGACCTGGGGATGAGCTGACTCCAGGCCGGCCCTGGGCTCGGGAGGCCCCCGCAGGGAGCCAGCTCACAGTGCTGAAGGCCCGAGAGGCAGATCCTGGAATGACAGGGCTTCGCCTCAGAACCTGGGAGGTTCCTGAAACCTGGTGGCGGCCCTGAAAGCAGAGCAGTGCCTGTGTGACAGCCTCTCGCAGAACCGGCCGGGCCGGAGTGAGGCAGCGCTGCCGGAAAAGTTCCGCCCGAGGCCGGGAGCCGCGAGTTCTCGGCCCCTCTGTGCCTGAGCAGTCTGGGTCTCCCCAGCCAGACGTCTCCAGGCCCCTCTGGCGCGAGGCAGGACAGAGCTGACGGGCTGCGACTGCAGATAAGCAGCCAGGCCACCCGCGGGCTCCTGCCAGGCCCCGTGATACCCGACAGCTCCGTTCCCGTGCCCCCGAGTCCCTCCGGGATGAGCTCCCTGCCTTACAGTCAGGTGGGTTCCAATCTCAGGGGGCCCTGAGGACCCAGATCGGGGCCAAGCCTGGGATAGCCAGGCAGAGCCATCGGTGGGGGTGGGGAGGCGGCCAGAGGTGCCGAGCTGAGAAGCAGGTCCCCCGAGAGGCCGGGCCTGGAGGCACCCACAGGACACCCTCCTGAGGACCCTGCCCCGTCCCCCCGGCCCAGGGCACTGCGAGATCTAGGAAAGACCCGGAGACACGGCAGAAACAACACCCTGTGTGTTATTAGGGAGGGAGTCAAACCGTTCTGGCCGCCGAGGCGGCTGTGGGCTCGGAAGGATAGAGTCTCTTAGGCTGGCTTCTGCGCTTGAGCATCTTCGGCTTTTCTTTCGAGAGGGCTGCCCTCTCCAGGTCCTTTCTGCACTGGTTCTTCAGGGAGGACACCAGGAGGGCACACTGAGACAGGAGGGGCGGTTAGCAGCACCGGCGCCGGGGGCCCCAGCAGGACACGCACGCGCGCACACACATACACACACACACACACACGGGAGTGTGAGACTGCGCCTGCTAGGATCCTTTGGTTCCTCTTTCTGTCCCTAGAACGGGGGCACAGACACCGTGGACCAAATCCATTAATAACAAGTACCATGTACGGAGGGTCTGGGATGCACCAGGCACTGGGCCAGTTACAATCTGGGTGTCTCAAAGGTCAGGCAAGTGTATCTTATCCCCATTTTACAGATGAGGAAACTAAAGCCTAAGGCCACACTACCGGTATATAGAGGGCCTTCCGTTCACACCCAGGTGGGCGTGGCTCCGAAGCCACTGCTCTTTCCACATGTGGGCCCAGCATCCACAAATGCCGGTCGGCCCGCAAGATGCCGGGGGCTAACTCCCCAGCTGGCAGAATAGTATGTCGTAGTTGATTCTGTCACCCACAACTGCCTGAAAGGTTCTCCAGTAATTCTCAACCAAAGCTCAGGAAACGCCATTGGAATGTAAATAACACCCTGGGAGTGTGCATCAAGCCATCATCACCCATGCATGTCTCGTGAATGAGTTTAGCAGATGAGGGACCAGAGGAGAAGGATTTAAAACAAACAAACAAAGAGAGGCCATTTCCGGGAGGCTCACCCAGGGGAGCCCACACACTGGACAGGGAGGAAGGGGACGTGAGGGTGGCTCAGTGGGTGCTGCTCTGCAATGGCGGTAAGTAAAGTGTGAGTCACTCTGAGTCCCCTCCACCGCCTGACTATGGCCACCTGAGCTCTCTGTCCATCCACAGAGCTGGCCATGCCCCGGCCCTTATCTTCCCCACCGGTCTGAACCATACCTCCACCTGTCATCCACAGGCCCCAGCAGGCTCCCTGAACTCACCTTTGTCCCAGGCCCACCCTCCCCGCACCTACCACACTCCCTCCGGAGGGCCTGTTCTCTGTGTCCTGGTCAATGGCCACCACTGTCACCCATGACCCCCAGTGGGGAACCTGGGAGTTACTCTGGGATTTCTTTCTCTCCTTCACCCCGTTCAATCAGCCACACCTCTGGTCAATCCTTCCCCAACTCTTCTCATGGGTCTTCCCTTATTTCCATTCTCATTGCTACTGACAAGATCTGGCCCCTTTCTACCTCTCTAATCTCACCTCGAACGGCTCAACTCCCTTCTCTGAGGAAGTCACATTTTAGTGAATCTTGAATAACAAGGACAATCCATGGACGATCTGGGAGGGGATGACAGACAGAGCACACAGCAGGTGCAAAGGCCCTGAGTTTAGGAATTAGCTCGATGTGTTCAAGGAACGCAAAGAAGGCCAGAAAGTACAGCTCACAGACCTAAAATCAATGCCTGTAGGAAGCCCTCATGTTTCATCTGAAGCCCTGGGGGTCAGTGGATCAGGGCATGAGGGGGAAGCTACTGTGGGATGAGTTCATGTCACCCCAAAGACAGGCTGAAGTCTGAACCTGGTACCTGTGACTGTGACCTTACCTGGGAATAGGGTCTGTGTAGATGTCACTAAGGTGTGAGTTAGTGAGTCCTACTGGGGAAGGACTCTGATATGACTGGTACCACTCCAAGGGGAGAAGGGACAGACACAAAGAGGGAGGACAGCATGTGAAGATGAGACAGAGTCCGCCTGCTGCGTGAGCCAAGGACTGCCAGCCCCCAGGACGCCCTCCTTGCCCAAACTTCAGTCCGGCCCCTCTGAGCCCTCTTCTCAATGAGGCTTCAACTTGGTCCTGCTAAACCCAGTTTTAGCAAAGAATCTTGCCAAGTCAGTTCAGTTAGAATCTCCATCACTGGTCAAGTCCCTCACCCCCCACCCTGATGTCTAAGTCCTTGACCAGCCCCCAGCAG